AAATACACACACACACACACACACACACACACACACATATATATATATATATATATATATATATATATATATATATATATATATATTTGTGTGTGTGGGTGTAAATTAAAGTGCACCACATATTTGATTTAAAAAGAACTGATACGACGTGCTACATTTCCGTAAAAGAACTGAGACATTGCTCTAATTGTTGAACTAGTCATTCCATGCCACACTGACCGATAAACTCTTAAAACAAAAACAAAATTATTAAATTAACATATTTGTAAAAAAAATAACGCTCTCACTTAAATTTTCAAAAAAATCTACTTTAGCGTTGCCAGAGCAGGCTTCATAAGTTTGAATCTGTTATCAATAACACCGTTCAAAAAATATTTTGATCTGCATTATATTTTTTTCGTCAAGGATGCTACCTGAAATTCAACAAGGAGAATATATATATATATATATATATATATATATATATATATATATATATATATATATATATATATATAATGGCGTATGTGTTTTGTGTTTATTTTCTTTTTATGTGCCATTTCATTTCATGACGTAAGCGACCATGGCTCCTCACCTCCCTCAATCCCTTGGAGAACAAGTTCCTTCCATTTGCTTTCTCTCCCAGATCACGTTCTGCCATCTATATTCTTAAGTCCGATAGATATGTCATGCGTTGATTCCTTTTGTCTCTCTTTCCCTCTATTCGACCAGTCAAAAGCTGATTCTCCAGGCCCTCCATCCTCATTTAACTTCAGCTGCCTCTTCCTGATGTTATGTAAAAGCCTCCTTCTTGTTTTTATCCTCTCTAAGACTTCATCGTTTGCTGACACGCTCGGTCCATTACATCCTTAGCATCCTTCTGTAGAACGAACTCTCCGTAGGTTTGTGTCGCTTCTTCATCTTTGTTGTGGAGTGAACGAAAATTTTTTCTTCCTCCGTATGAGAACGAATCCCTCGTCCGCCAAGTTTGTTATGGTCGGTGATTTTTTTTCCGTATGAATTATCTCATCCTCGTCGCCAATGTTGTTATAGAGTAGTTTCACATTGGAGGCTTGTATTTCACTAAGTCGGTCCTAAAAAGGTTCGACGTACAAAACGTTAGGAACTTGTTATAATAGTTAATGACGCAGCAATCTAGCTGTGGTAGTTGATACATTAATGACAGATATCGACTGACTAACCAACGATATTTAGTCACCCCCCACCCCACAAGGGCATCATGTAGCACAAGGCCAGTTTAATGTGAGATCTCCGAGCCCGTGGGCTCGGCCAAAAATATACCCATTGAACTGGTATAAACGGGTCCATGGTCGGTTTAACTCCGCGACAGAAACTCCGCCCTTCGGTGTAGCCTCTTTCGGGTTCCTCCCCACCCGAAGGCAGAGAGTTCAACCGATCAGGCAGTCGACTGACTCCCCAACGATATTTAGTCACCGCCCCCACGAGGGCATCATGTGGCACAAGGCCTTTTTTAACGTGGGATCTCCGAGCCCGTGGTCTCGGCCAAAAATATGCCCATTGAACCCGTATAAACCGGTTCAGGGTCGGTTTACCTCCCCGAAAGAGAATCCGCCTTTCAACGTAGCCTCTTTCGTGTTCCTCCCCACCCGAAGGCAGAGAGTTCAACCGATCAGCCAGTCGACTGACCCACCAACTCTCTGAGCGACTTCCACTACTACTACTTATTATATGTGGGAGAGTCCATTAACTATAGAATAGGTGTGTTTCAGTATCACAATCTTAAAGGAAATCGTCCAACATTCGCTGACGTAAAGAAGGACAGATATCACGTAACAGCTCAGTATTCATTTCTTCGTTACCAAAGACATCCTCCTGTCTCGCAATTATCTGTCCAGCTTTTGGAATGTGTCCTTCACTATCCCAATGCATCTACGGATCACAGTGACACACTTAGCCCCTCTATCGAAACACATCCCAGATATTTAAACTTCCAGGTCTGCTTGATTCTAGTTTTTCCAACTTGCTAATCGCATTACTGATGACTATGCATTCTGTCTTCTAGTGTATAAATGATTGTTACAATGAAAAAAAAAACCTTTTTAACACGTTTCTTTTCCTCAGATAAATCCAAACGAAACAAGTCATTTAGTAATTATCCTTATTGTCATTCGCTTATATAATATTAGTCTAAAATTAGTCATATTCTTAAGTTTAACGTTACTGCGATCGTCAGGCGAACACAAGTCTGTCTGATTGTCTGAAGATCGTGGTAGCGTGAAACTTATATAGTGATCTGAAATTCGTCTCTTCCTGATTCGTGGAACTTGGAAGCATCATTGCTCTATTTTTTTTATAACTTAGATCTAGCGCAATGTTTATTAATATTTAGGTAAGTATCTGACTTTTAGTCATTTTACTTAGTGTATGTTTATTTTTCTTCTATAGGGTTTTCTTGATTTTAATTTTACTTTTTTGTTAGTTTTTCTATTATATTAACATGTTTTTGTCACTTATCAGATTTCGGCTGGATTTTACCTATTCTCTTTTGATATATATATATATATATATATATATATATATATATATATATGTGTGTGTGTGTGTGTGTGTGTGTGTGTGTGTGTGTGTAAGCAAATATATGGATATAGATCCGACAGTATGAAGAAATATATACGGAAAAAAAACAAAAATCCTAATATGCAATTATGCTGGTTTTAATGTTAATATAATGCCAACGTCGGACGCTTCGGTCTATTTTAGACCATCTTCAGGACATTTTCATTAAACATAATTAACATAGAACATATTCAATTCAACATGAAAAAGACGATGGACATAAAAGCAAGACCAATCCAAACAGATAACTGAAATCTTTTATAAGATCAGCGTTCCGTTTAAATATGATCACGTAGTCGTCACGTGGGTGATGTTGTGAAAACGTACTCTTAAAATTTGAGTATTTTGAATGAAAAACAAAAAGAATTTTATTTTGATCTAAAACGTATATGTACGGTTGTCGAGCATTAATCTTGCTAGAAAAGAGGAAATATTAAAGAAGCTAGCATAATTGCATATTAGGTTTTTTGATTGTTTTTCCGTATATTTTTCTTCATATATATATATATATATATATATATATATATATATGAGTTGGACGGCATTATGAAGGAAATCAGTTTAGCTTGTTAATGTGATACGTAGCTCACACTGTAAAATGCGTGTCAAAATGGTGAAAGGAATATTTAAATGACTAAGCAAAAGAAAAATGAATCCAATTCTTCTTATTATTGATTATGAACACGGTCAAAATGTATTTGTAGTATATGGAAACTAACATATATATCTACTTTCAGCAACCTTCATACTGTTTGCAATAGCATTACAACCCATTTAGACTAGTAATATAACCAAAAATAATCCTTCACAATCGGGAACAGTTTAGCCGAAAACGGTCCGGACCAACACAAGTTTGAACATATCTGCAACTTGTCCAAAAACGGACACGATTTACATATACAGGAATATATAATAATGAAGTATAAGTGTACATTGCTTGTCTTATTCCATGAAACGCATATTAATCAGGAATTGCTGCCTGAATAAACCACTACATCGGGTATTTTTCATCTGACATTATTTATTATTTTTAGTGGCTTGACTTATTTGTTATCGGGTTCGATTCTTGTAAGAGCTACAATCTTTTTTTTTAGAAGGACTTCTCAATATCGGCCGGTTGTTATTAATTTATCTGTTTCAGAATAATAAAAACCTGGTTAGTAATTCACATACGTGTACCAACTAAAATAATATTTATGCAATTAAGAATTAATGTCAGATAGAAAGTACACATTAAAAAATTACGGATGTTAAATTTTGGCTACGAAACTAAAGCTAAGAGATATATATTAATAAGAGTCCCAACGTGAAATGTGTATTCATTAAATAGATAGTTAAAATCATGATCTGTCAACGTGTCCAAAATTGTAAAGGTACGTTTCAACGGTACAAAAGAATGAAGAAAAGATACTCGTTCAGGTTCTCTCAGAGGCCATAATTCTGAATAGAAACTCTAAATTTTTGTCGCTTGTTATTAATTTCAATTTCAACGTTTAAGAAAATAATAAAAAACACACAAAAAAGGGAGAAAAATCAAATAAATTTATATTATTAAGAAAAAAATATATATGCACAACTATCATGAGAATTTTCCCCATCAATTCTTTATTTAATTGTTCAATTATTTAACCATTTTCCCACATCCCAAATTAGTAGTTATTGTATAATCTTATCATGGTATATTAATGAAATATCAGGACAGACTTGATAAATATCATAAAAACAGATTAAATATGACTCCCCAACGGCAAGAGAGGTTTTGAGAGGCGTGAAGCCACCTGTGCAAAAGAAATATCAAAACTTGATTTTAATTTTCCCTTTAAGTTTGTCTTCAATAATTCTTGAATATTAAAAGTTTCTAAAGAATAAAATAAGGTAAAAAAAAAGATTTTCCGCCTTGTAATATTGCTATAAATTAAGACGTCCATAATACATGTGACTGTTAGCTATTTAATCAAGTCGCTCCATGCAAGCCGATGATGTCATTAAGATGCAAGCGCATGCTAAGAGTAAAAGAGAATCAACAAACATTATAAAGTACCAAAAACCTTACCTGAAACGAGAAAAATGGGAAAAACCACTCCTGCTCGAAAGACCACGGAGGAAGTTGAACCAAAAGTTTCACCGGACGATCTATCTATCTATCTATCTATCTATCTATCTATCTATCTATCTATGTAACTATCTATCTATCAATCTATGTATGTATGTATGTATGTATGTATGTATGTATGTATGTAACTATCCATCTATCAATCTATCAATCTATGTATGTATGTATGTAACTATCTATCTATCAATCTATCAATCTATGTATGTATGTATGTAACTATCTATCTATCAATCTATCAATCTATGTATGTATGTATGTATGTATGTAACTATCTATCTATAAATCTATCAATCTATGTATGTATGTATGTATGTATGTATTATCTATCTATCTATCTATCTATCTATCTATCTATGTATGTATGTATGTAACTATCTATCTATCAATCTATCAATCTATGTATGTATGTATGTATGTAACTATCTATCTATCAATCTATCAATCTATGTATGTATGTATGTATGTAACTATCTATCAATCTATCAATCTATGTATGTATGTATGTATGTATGTATGTAACTATCTATCTATCAATCTGTCAATCTATGTATGTATGTATGTATGCAGGTATGTAACTATCTATCTATCAATCTATCAATCTATGTATGTATGTATGTATCTATCTATGTATGTATCTATGTATGTATGTATGTATGTATGTATGTATGTATGTATCTATCTATCTATCTATCTATCTATCTATCTTTTTTCAGATACATATATAGTAATTATACGTTGCATAAACTCAGACCCGACTTGAAGTGGAACTCCTACATACGACCCATTACTAAGGATGCAGATAAAATGATCTGCTATCTCTACTACTCCAGGAATTTCCTGATTCCTCATGCTATCCTCTAACCTTGCAAGAACCAAAATGGAGTAATATTGTCATATTTTTAAATTAAAATCCCATTATACTAATTTTATCAGAATATTAATAAAAATTCCACATAAAATTCCATACATAAAAAGTAATATTTTCCTTTCAAATAACAAAACACAAAATTCAAGGAAAACATACTAAATAAAAATTGGCAAAGCAACACCCACGAAAAAGACGGAATAAATAAATACGTTAATAAATTATATGAAATATGTAAATAAATGAATAAATCTAACACGTAATTCCCCCTGTAACCTAATTAGACAGCTTCCTAAGCTTCGCGGTGATTACTTCAATATTGTCTAATTGTTTCAAATTTTCTCTCTCTAGATCAATTATGACTGGGTTTTGAGATTGAACCACACTACCAACACCATACATAGGATCGTGGAACAGTCTCTTAATTGATAGATAGTTACATACATACATAGATTGATAGATTGATAGATAGATAGTTACATACATACATACATAGATTGATAGATAGGTGTTCAGTGGGGTGGTAGCACCTGTTAGGGTCCCAATCATGGGCAAATATTTAACACCCCAACTGGGGTCAGATCACTATGAAAGTGTAAAAAGATGTTTTAATACCAGAAATACTTCGTAAAAACTCATTACCAGCAATAAATCTCTGACGGAAAAAATGATTACCAGCATATATAATTACCAGCAATACACTTTTGAAATAAAAAAATATTACCAGGAAGACCTCTTAAAAATATATTACCAGCTATATATTATTTTTTTTTAAAAAATACCAGATATACATTTTTTGAAAAAAATATTGCCAATGATATATTTTGAAGAAGAAATATTACCAGACATAGATTTTTGAAGGAAAAAATATTACCAGCAATAAAAATGTTGTCATCATTAAATAACTCATTGAAGTCGATATGCCGTAAAACAAAACAAACCAAGACAACAGAATAATTTCCAATATCCACTAATATTTATTTCAACTACCCAAAATATTCCATCAATTTAGATATGAATAAAACTTTCAATATAAACAAATGCCATCAATTGTCGAAGCATTTATTTACAAAATTGTGAAAATATTTTTCATTCCGTCATATATCTACTAATAGAATAAACATTTGCCCTATTCCCAGAACATACTTCCACCTTTTTGGTCCTATCTTTGATCATTATAAAATAAAAATAAAAATACTCATGGTACTATTACCAGAAATAATTTATTGCCTTCTAGCCATGTCTCTGATAATATTATAAGCGATTACAATATTCCCAGAGTGACATTCGCCTTTTCTCCTTTACTTTCAGACAATCGAATAAATGTTTGCATTGTTTCAGGGATAACGCCTGCTTTTCATTATCTCTCTCCATATTAACAGACTCTTAAAATGCAGTTTTGCGCTGTGTATATTATAAAATGCAAGAATAATTTTGTGCGTTTCGAATAAGTAATAAACATCACCTGCCTATCGAACAGTTATATATATATATATATATATATCGTATTTCTGAAATACCATATATGTGACAAGCTAATTAACAGTCACAAATCCCGAAACAAAAATGTCTAATAAACAGGCTATGGAAATTTTTTCTTTTTCCATTGGTTCGTGAATTGCTAAATCAGCAATGCTTAAGAAGGCGATATTTTCCACCTAAAACGTTAAGTTCCTCACTCCAAATTAATTTAGTGAGTCTTGATTTTTAGTGAGTTAGTAGCGAGTATGATGTCTCAAAAGACAGGCTGGAAAAAGAAATTTCTCTCTTTCTGTAGACCCACTCCGTCACCGAGGAGTTGTCAGTAAAAAGGCTCTGCTGAAGAATATAAAATTTGCTCAATACGGAACAACACGTTTTGTGTCATTTATTATTACTTGGAAGTTCTTCGCCAGGTGAAAATATGGCTGTTGATAGTTAGTACGAGATCGAGATGGCACGAGGGTTACGATAATGGATGAAGTCCACCGATGCGAAGCACTGCGAAGCACTGCGAAGCAATGTCCGTAGTTCGCTTAGGTCAGGACACAGAGTATGTAGTGACAATAATACACACGTTTTCTGAGGATTTAACACCATCGAATTCGTCTATCGGCTTGGGATATATTGTGTCATAAATGTGTTTTTTCCAACTTGTATGAAAGTTTCAAGAGCCACTAAAGGTAGAGTAATACTGAATGGAATATAGCATATGGATAACAGAGGAAGCTGTAAGTCGTGATTATTATGAGAATCAGGAGAATGCATAAACCTCCATCTTTAATATTTTTAAATCAGTTCACTCTACTCTACCTGGTAAAGACACGAAGAACCATAGCTTTATTCAGTGCGAATGATTATGAGAAAAATAAAACGTTATTAATGAGAGAGAGAAAAAAAAGAACAGTAATTATGGCGTCAGAAAATAAAATTGCATTTAATTTTTTATGATCAATGTCGATTTGGAAGTAATACGCCTGGATTAGTTTCACACGACTGAAGTGCGAATGAAGAAACTGTTTGCATAGTACTTACGATTACATCTCTTCAATTCAAAATTGAAATGATGGTACCTTGCTCCCAAACTACTGCTGCGCTTAAATTCATAATGTATACGTATGAAAGATGAAAGCTCGTCAGAACAATTATAAAGCTTCAAACTATTTGGATTGACTGCAAAATACTTTAACACTTTCAATTTATGGGCAGAAGCACACAAGAGCAAGCTGATATTTTTCTTAGCCAATCAAAGAGGCCGGTTTACGGTTTCATCTGACTCAGTCTCGACGTGTATTTTCTTGAGTCAGAACACTAAGTTTGCTTGACCGCTTGTGTATCGACTCATTTTTTAGCTTTTGAACTTTTTGCCATATTGCTATTGATTTGTCTTGCATATATTGCTTCCAGTTACATTTGATTCATATTACTTTGGTCTTGTTTTTTTCTTTACATTTTCTTGTTATTGCTTATATCCGATTTCGTCAATTCCTTTTTCTTGGACAGTTCTACTTTTCATTTTGCATTTGGCCATGTCTACTCACTCAAATTACCAAAGACAATATTTTTAGAAAAGATAGAATTAAGCTAAGTTACGGCGGTAGGAAAGTGCCTGAAGACGAGATGTCAGGTCAGGACATATAAAATTGCGGATACTTCTGTGTATTTATTTGAAAAATCTCACAGCATAGTATAATAACAAAACCAGGTGTTAATGTAGTAGTCTTCAAGGAATACCGATTGTAAGAACCCATTCCACAATTGGCAGTTCTGCATAGAAACGCTGACGGAGTGTCTTTGTACTGGAAAGGTACGGTACGTAAATAGTATGGCGTGTCGTAAATAGTGGATGTAAATAGTATGGCTTTTCGTAAAATGTTAACATCTGACTTGGTGGAAACAAAAGAAAGGACCTCACCTGAATATTTGTCATGGAAATAGACAAGCAACTTTAAGTCTGTCGGGAAAGAGGATGGAGTATTTTATTCTAAATGAGACACGTCTTCAGAAATACCATTATTTTCCTACTAAGCTGAATCGCATATCTGTTAGTTTTATATCGAAGGCTTCTGAAAGTTTCTTTCGACAGTTTCGGAGAACTTAAAGATATATAAACGTAATGCAACAACTCTACAGATTTACACATGCGGTATAGATTTTTACAAAATGTCACGATCACGACGCTAGCCGCACAAGCCTCTGGGCTCTACGAAATATGTACTGTTCTAGCAAAAGTGTTCACTCTTAGAAACCCAAAATAACATTAATCCGAGAAATACATTACTTCTTAGCATGACAGTATTTGCCTTGGGAACGCAGAGGACAAAGTATTCGATTGATGTTTTTTTTCTATCGTCATTTATTGTTATTTTATCCAATTTAAAATTGAGTATTTACAATCAAATTTTACTATATATATATATATATATATATATATATATATATATATATATATATATATGAAAGATTTCTCTAAGTTAAACTGTATAAAAGAGACAATGTGTAAAAAGGTAAAAGATAATAGGAAAACTGGATTATGAGCCGACGTATTTCGTTACATGTGGTTTTTTTAAGGTAAAAATAAAATGAATTTATTGTAAACAAAGTAACTATTAACAACATGCAAAATGTCCTTAGTAACTAGAAGAATTTAGATAACGTTACTGTATTCGTGTTTTGTAGATGCCAATATGAATACAATAGCGTTTTCTAAATTCTTGTAGTTGCTAAGGAGATTTTGCTTGTTTTTGAAGCTTCTTCCTTTTCAATAAATTAATTTCGTTATTGCCTTGAAAAATTCCACATCAGATGAAACGCGTCGGCTAATAATACATTTTTTCTGTTGTATTTAACTTTATACATATATACATACAAACATATATATATATATATATATATATATATATATATATATAAAGGGTGTATCAAAATTCTTTTACAGACTTTCGGGGAAAATTCCTTTATGATACTCTTTTCTTTGGTGGGACGCGAGGACTAAAGTCCAGGTTTACCTCCGTGAGTATGCATGGGGGAGAACTTTGTTACGACTTTTCTTGAATTCTCTTTATGTATCTCCCATATTTTGTGGCGTATAATAACGACCGGCTAGGTGTGATTAATGAATAGATCTTTGAATAACAATAAGCGAGATATGATTAACGATGGTAGCTTATGTTAGACATTTTCATGACGGTCGTCCTCGAGTATAGAATCCAGAGGTTGACAGTGAATATTTCGGAGACAGTAGGAAAGCGTACTTTAGGTTCGCAGTGGATATCACAGCAGAGTGTAGTTCATCCTTCTCCTGATCGACTTTGGTCCTTCCGGTAGAGGAAACAAGATGGCCGCCTTTATACACGACGAATACAGTGTTGTGCGGCTTC